AATTAATGTTTTTGTAAACACAACTTGGATTCACGCACAGAATAAATTTTGTTTAAGGAAAGATTAAAAAGAGCACATCACCAAATATACTTTGATCTTTCTTTGGTCCAACACAACTCATTTCTAAAATACAGTGCCAGTGGTTTCTTAATTATAAAAGATGGTGTGCTTCTGGCCCTAAGGAGCTCACAACAATAGTATCATTAAATCTTCTATAGCCTTTTTTTTTTTAAATCATGAAATCATAGCACAAAAGCCCTCAGCAAAATTTCTGCTTTAAATATTTATCAAGAGGTGAGAAACAGATGGCTAGACTGGTTTTACAGACTGAAACTGTTCTGACATGGTATTCAAACTCTTTTTCTGCCAACTGCTATTAAGGGGTTCAGAGAGGTTGGAAAGGCAGAACGTGCATCAAAAGCTGAAAAACATCCTCCCTGATTTTTTTTTAAAGAGACAGCAAGAACTCTTTAATTAATTTCCAAAGAAGCCACTTCAGAGTGTCAATCACAGTTTCACTTGTTTCCACTCATTAAGCCAAGAACTTCATTATCAACCACCCTCCAGTTTCCAAAGCTCAGTAAGTCTTTAGCATCAAAGCAAATGCACTACATATTCACCTGCAAAAAAAACAAGACAACAATAACCAGGTACATTTTGTTAAATATTCCATGTTAATGTTACTTGTACATTTTATGCCCATCACAAAAAGAACTCCAGATGTATAGAAACATAAATGCTGAACAGATGCTCGTGCTGAGTAGATTCTTTAGCATACCAGATTCCATCATTTTTATTTCCAAATATTTAAAGTTACTAAAAAAAAACAATTTTAGTTCCATTCATCTATTCTTGCCTTGGATATTCCAGTGCAGTTGGACAGAAGTCAGGTTTATAAAGCAAGTATGCAAATCTGCCCAGTACTTCAATGTGTAAATGCTCTTACTGCTCATGAGGTGAACATAAACATGCTACATTTGAAAAAAGAAGTGTTAAAAAAATGTAAAACTCTGAAAAATCTATCTAAATAAACAGCAACCATTTTCTATTACTAATGAAGTGCAGCAAGGCTACTTTGTAATTATGCAGCCCCTTTCCTCAGTTGATTATTGCTTTAGAAATACTATCTAGGAAAAAGTTACATATTACAGACAGGAAAATACAGCACACAACAGTCAAGTTCTCAGAAAATATAATTTCAACTGGATTACAGAAGACTAGACTTCCCAGTTCTCACTACTCTATTCTAACCATTAAGAGAGTATTAGCATGCAAGGCAGTTCACTGAAGTATCTCAGTTTTTGTGTGGGCATATGATAAGGAATATGCTGCAGTGTGACCACAAAGACAAATGCACTGATGAGAATAAAACTTTCAAAATTGATCAAAACTGTTCTGATAAAAGGAAAACATAAAAGGGGAACATATTTCACACATCGTAGAAAATGCAGAATGAAACAGTTCTAATGACACAATAACTTAGATGAATCAACATTTATTTTACAATTATTAATTCACATTATTTCATACAACACTATCAAAGGAAACAACAGGGAGCATGCTTAGCCAAGACATACTGAAAAAAAAACAAAGTGCCTCTAATTACGTCAGCCTACTCAAGACATACATGTCTTGGCCAATGCACACACACTTCAGAGAATGTCAGTCTACTTATGAAAATAGCTGCTTAAAAAAGAAAAAACCTCATAATCCAGAAACAAAAATAGCAGCTACAGAATGTAAAGAATTAGAAAATACTGGCCCATTAAAGAAAACCTTTCCCTTGTCATATTTCTGATACAACCATTTAATTAGCATATGCATCATTTCAATACCAGAACAGCCATATTAAATAAGTACCACATAAATACCAGACATGAGTTGCCTTCTTAATCTCCGGATTTTTCTTTTGGCTCTTTATTTGTCTCTAAATTCATCCATGCACACTTTTTACTTTATCAGAAATAGCATAAAGCATAAGACTCCAGGAAAAAAAAAAAAAAAACAGAACCATGAATCAGCATAAAATACCAATAATCAGCAAGAGATCCAATTCGAGATGGCAGGGTTAAGAAGATATTAAAACACCTGATACAAAAAATAATCAAGCTCGCCTCAATGAATCAGCAAAGCCTACATACAGATTTGGAAATGGTCTGAAAAACTATCATCTAGATACCAGTCTTAATCCTGAAAAATTCTCCTTTATGACCACAGGTGCGAGCACTAATGAGGCAGAGCTTTAGGCTCAACTAGGTCTCCAGAAAACCTGTGCAGAACAGCTGTGCAGCTGGAGGCTGTTCACACCGTGAGCTGGCAGTGCCCTGCTGCCATACACAAACACAGCATGGCTTGGGCTGCCTTCTGGAGCTGCACTGATGCTAGCAACAGGGATGATGAAAGAAAAGCTACAGGAGAACACGAACACATCTAATAGTTTATTTACTCCTTGTTCACAACCCTGTCTTTGAAGGTCCACAAATACAGTTCTTCCTTATGTTTTTAAACTAGATTTAAGCTAACTATAGTAAACTTAAATTTTGTGCCAGACTTGAAAAAAATCATTTTTATTTGACCAACAGAAGTTCTTAAAACAATTAAACATTCAATATTTTCAATCACTAAGAGAAGCACTGAGCATTTTTCCAACTAAGAAAACTGTTTGCTTTAGAGCCCTAATAGATTTTTTTGAAGTACGCTTAGATTCAACATAAAAAAATAACCCATTTAAAAGGTACATTTTAATTTAAAAACTTGTATTGTCAGAGTCCAGTTGTATAGTTACAAACAGACCATTTTATGCCTAAAGTTACCTCATTAGTGTAGAGTTACAGGTATCTCCTGATATCAAGCAAAAAAATGTATTAATTTCTGCTGAAATAAGTACGGTGCAGTAAAAAATTTAGCTTAAAACCCTGGCATTATTTCTTCAAACTAACACATAAGAATTGGTAACTTGGGGAAAAAAAAAAACACATACAGGAAGTCTAGATAAAATTCAGCTAATTTCATGACACTGAATGAAATGCCTGGCATTAAAGGGAAGCCTGAGGTCAAAATTCACCTTTTTGTATCCATTTCTTAAGCACATAAGGAAGATAAACACTTTCTTACAAAACTGAATACAGGATAGACTATAAGACCTTAACAAGCTGAACAAAGAAAATAAAATTGAGGCTGCCAAAATGAACAGAGATGACTAAGCTAAAACTTTGTTTTCTAAAGTGATACATACTTCAGTGCTTACAGAAGAAAATTCAGTGCTCTCCCGAAACGCAAAACCCCACTCTTCCAAAACACTGACCTACAACCTCTGAACTATATACAAGCATTAACTAGAGACACACTTGTGCTGCAAATATAAACCATGGTTTCTACTTACTCTTTACTGTTAATATTACAACAGCTTTATATTTCAGTTGTTACAGCAGTGTTGTCAGTACTTCACAAGTGTATTTTATCTGAATTTCATCATGACTATAAATCCTATCTAAGTACAAAGTACTGTACAAAACACTAAAGTAACCCCTAAATATCTTTAAATCAGGCTTCTCCACGTAGTACACTTGATACAATGCTACTACATCTTCATTTTGCATAGCCAGACACGACATTCAGGTGGCTTGCAGGAGCTTCACTGCCCCAACTCCTATACTCCACCCACACCCTCTGACTGCAATGCCACAGTCTGCCTTTGGCTGGCCAGCTCACTCGGGCAGCCAGTTGTCTCAGTGCCGAGCAGATATTTGCTCCTCTAGAGACTAATAGCCTTGTGCAAGAAACTACTGATAAAGGAATTTAACTCAAATTAAAAAAAAAAAAAAAAAAAAAAAAAAAAAAAAAGGTGTAACACTTGGTCCAAGCTACGAGTTCCTGAATAGACTTCAAGCTGTAACGTTTAGCTTTCTGTAATTTTTTTTTTTTTACTGAGCGTCAATTGTCTGTGCTTCAGACTTTAAAAACAAATAAACGAAGGGCAGTCCGCATTTAAAACGGGGACGTTGAACCTTCCTTGTTACTACAATTTTTTTTTTTCGCTTAAGCTTTCCCACGATCAGCGTCAACTCCAGTTATAGCAGCAACCTAAGAAACCCGACAAGAGAAAATAAAACATCCCACAAGTGCTTGCGAGCAGACATCTCCGTGCTTCACTCCGGCAGATTTCCCCGGGAGGAGCCCCTTCTTTATTGCCCTCGGCACAGCAAAAAAAAACCAAACCAAAACAAAAAAAATCTTCGAAGGAAGCGCGGAGATTGAAGAAACGATAAAACGCAACACACAGGCCCACAGACATTGTTTGTCTCCTTGCTGCAAATTTTTCATATTTAAAAAAAAAAATAAAACACAAAACAGCATTAGCCAGTGTTCTGGATTGCCTTTCGAAACAAAGCTATGCAATAACTGCTTTCCACCAGAGGCGACAGCTCAAACCGCGCTACCCGTCAGCGCAGACCGGGGGGGTTCGGGCGAGCAGCAGCCCCGCGACCGCCCGGCCCCGCCGCCCACAGGGTGCCCGCTGCGGGCCGCGGCCGCTGCCCGAGCCGCGCCGGGACTCCGCCCCAGGCCAGCCGCCGCCGCCGCCTCCTCGCACCCCGCAGGCGGGCGGGGGGCGCACACAAAGGCGCCCGACCTGCCGTGACCGTTACCGGGCAAGGGGCGGAGGGCGAGGCAGCGCGTGCCACCCCCACCCCCGTGAGAGGAGCCATAGCCGCGCGAGGCGGCGCGCGCTCCCGCACCGCGGGCGAGGCGCTCCCCGACCCGCCGCCCCGCCCCCTTCCCAGCGCTCACACCGCCTCCCCCCGCCGCTTCCAGCGTCGCTCTGTGACCCCCCCCCCCCCAACCCCCCCCTCCCCGACCACCCTGCCCCGGTGCCCGCCGAACAAAGCGCCTCGGCGGCGGCCTCCGCTCCAGCCCCTCCGCATTTTCCCCGGCGACGCCGCCTGTGCAGACAAGGGAAGGCGGCGAATCCCAGACACAATGAGAGGCGAGCCGGGACTCACCCACAGCTCCGTGCCCCAGCTCATGGCTGCTTCCCAGGCAGGGCCGGCTCCGGCAGAGGCGGCGACGGGGACCAGGCGTCGGGCAGCGGCTGGAGAAGGGGTCCCACCGGGGAGCGCCCGTGCCCTCGGTCACCGGGGAGAGGCGGCGGCAAGGAACGACGTCGCTCCCAGCTCCAGCTCCGCCTGGCGCAGGGAGGGGGGGAGCCGCGGAGGAGACTGGGAGAAGGGCGGGCCCAGCTGAGGCGGCGGCGGGGGGACGGGAGGCGGGGAGGCCGCCTCTCCCCGCGACTCCCCCCCCACGGGCGTGGGACGGAGGGGGGTAACGCTGCGAAGCGGTTCCCGGTGCCGGTTGCGTCGTTACTCCGCGAGGAGGAGGGGGAGGAGGAGGAGGAGGAAGGGGCTCTTGGCAGGAGGCGCCAACGAGGCCGCGGGTCTTTGTATCCTGCCCGGCTGCGCGGCCTCCTCGCCTCCCCCGGGAAGCGCTGAGTCACGCCCGGGAGAGGCGGCGGCCCCGCCCGCAGCGCACCCGCTGCACCTGGCACGGCGGCGAGAGGCAGAAATCATCAAGGAAAGCTGGGTGTCTGGGGTGATTTTTTAAACACCACAGGTGTGTAAGTAAATCATAAATTGAGAAGATAGGAAAGGCAAGGCTGACGTCTGAGGAAAAATAAACTAATTTTTGATGGAATAGTTCCATGAATCATATCATTGAATTACTGTAACATAGGGAGTTCCCTCAACAATTTGACAAGGAGTTAACACCCCTCTTTTTCTAAAGATGATTTTTGGTTTTTTCCACCAAAATTTGTGTTGAAGCCACTAATAGCAAAGGCTTCATAGGCCAACCAAATTCCCGTCTCAAAGCATCAATTTCTACATTTTCCTCTAATTTTTGCAGGCTGCAACAAAACCTCAGTGAAAATACTGCTGTCCTAACTCTATATCATGAAACAAACATGACTAATCATTTTTTTCATTTCCAAGTCACCTTTCAAGTAATGTTCCTTCGCATTGTGCTTGATCTGTACTTTGTCTTGTTCCATATGAAAGGAAAACACAAGTTCTTCTAGGTGGATATTAAATTATTAGAATAATATTAACATCAAAATTTATCAAAATAAGATGAGATCACAGCTCAATAATGTAATTTCTGGAGTGAAATATTTAAACTAGTCACATTACACAAGAAATGCATTTGGGTCTGTGGGGATCCACAAAATGAGTGTGCTACATGCTGTGGTGGCCTACATGTATGTTTTAGCAAGCTAATGGTCATCAAACCCCCAAATTTCAGACTGAAGATTAAATTCCACACCTGGGCCCACTGCAGTTGAACTCTGGCACATTAACTCAGTCTGCTGATGGCATGCATTACGGAAAATACTCACCAAGCAGAACACACATTGAGGATTCTAGTACTGAAGCAGAAATAAATATATATTTGAATTCACTCTTCATACATGCCTTTAAAGATTAGGAAAAAAATAATTTCCATTAAATGCTGTAAACTTCAATTAACATTTTGCTTAGCTACCAGTTCCTCACACACCTTTACACAATTCTCCAAAATTAGATGATATAATGGGATGACCTCGTTCAAAACATAATTAAGTAAAAATTAAAATAATTTGCTCCTTTTATATGCTTTTTAATATATCTCATATAGATGAATATCTATGCTATAACTTGCTGCATATGTAATAATTTTAGAAAGAAGGATTTCAAAATCTTTGATCATGCATTAATCCATATCCTTCTGTATCCTAACCACAGTTTAAGTGCACCCAACAATCTGGGCACCTTTGGTTTTAGATGCCAGATCTGGCACTTAAAAAAAAAAAAAAAAAAGCCTAATTTTGAGAAACAATTGCACGCTGACCCTTTAAACACTGGAGGTGAGAGTCCTGAATTAAGAGTCCTTAAGTGGATTGGAGGTTTGCTGCTGGCTTCAGGAGAGCCAAGATTTTTCACTTTCTGATCATGTCAGGAAAACTAATTTTTCCAGTTGTTTCAGCTTAGAAATCTAAAAAATGAACCCTAAAAAAAAAATTCTGAGTTAAAATTTTCAACCTCAGAAGCCCCGATGGAATACTGAAAACGAATCTACTAGAAAATGGATCCTAAATTCTAGATCTATGGATCCAGAAGCTTTGGATGTCAGACACGCACTTGGCACTCAAATCTGAAATACTGGCCTTTCACTGCATGAAACGTGCATCAAGAGAATTTCAATATGTAATATATATATATTTATATATATATGTATTTATATTTGTGGTTGGTTGATTGCTACCTGAACCCTCAGGTTCTTTTACTTACCTATAATTTAAGAATTAACTGATTACTCCCATTTCTGCAAAATGTGCAAGGCCAACATTCTCAACACGTCAGGATTTGTTTTCAGTTCAGAGCAACATACCAAAATTGAATGTTTTCTGGTGATCTCTAGCCATTTTAGAAGGAAACTGCAGCCTGTATCATAGGTACATAAATACAATACTTAGCTTCTCAGTAATGCTTAAAAAGCCTACTTCTAGCTAATGAGAGGTTTTCCCAGGACAAACAGGATTCCTTCTTTCCACGCAGCTCTCTTCAGAAAACACCTTAACAAGCCCTAGGGTAAAGCAATCATCAGGAGCCGGACAACTTTGCAGAGATTCTGGGTAACTTCACAACCTCCAGAACAGGTTGAGAGACTGCTCTGAAATACTATGTAAAATAAGTTAGGTGTCATCACAGCAGCCTGTGGGCTAGACCTACCTTTTAAGAGCTCATGTACACTATAATGAGGAACAATCAAAAGATATTACTGAACAAGCTTTGATCAAGCTAGCACCGGAATAGGAAACTGTATTGTTGCATTAGAGCATTGGTGCAGTAGTATGGCTAATTATTCATGTTCAGAGGTTAACAATTAAACTTGGGAAGTAAGGCTGGTTAGGCCAGAAGCTGTACACATTAACATACTGGTTCTGGGACCCAACCTAGTGTTTCTGCACGGAAGCATGACGAGCCCTTTAGCTGTATCAGTTCATTCACAACTAGCTCGGACGTTGGATCTTCATTGTGCAACACAGAAAAAGTCCTAGAGAATTAGCACAAAATATGACTCAAAAGAATACAGTTCACAATTATTTGAGATCCTGCTGATAGCCATTGCTTCTTCAGGTAAAGTAAATGAAACAGACTGGGGAGAGTTGGACAATGTATATACACTACAGGGAAATGGAAGAATGATTGCTTACGATATTCCTGGAAATGCAGTATTTCTTAATATGTCCAGATTAGATTATTTTAAAACATAAAAGAAAACAAACAAACAAAAAACAGTGTAAGCTTTTACAGTCTGTGTGATATGGGATAAAAACCATCATAATGCCTTTTATACGGCTTTCATTTTACAGGATTCCAAAAAGTCCAAGTGCGAAACCTATTTCTTATGAAACAGACTTCAGTGGCTTAATTAGTGTTCGAATTGAAATATGGGCACAACTGATTCAAGATTGGTTTCTAATTTTTAGTTTGCTTTCAACTTGTACTTCTTCCAAAAAGAGAAGCAAATATATGTATCAGGTATGTATTCGGAGATGCGCATTTCACCTTTACTTAAACTAAGAGCCACCTCTTCAGTCAAGAGAACATAGTTCATTATAACAGTAAACTACAAAGGTAATTGATTGTAAGTTAGTTAAAAGTCAAAAAGCACTTAAGGTATCACAGAGCCTGGAATTTGTAAACAATATATTAATTAAGACCATGTGATCAAATCAAATTTTAACTCACTAAAAACAGAAGTCTTAGCAGCAGTAACACTTACCATTTCAGCTTCGCGGAAGTCTGCTATCAGTCATCATTAGCCCCTTTTCCTGCTCGAGTACACTTTTACTTTAGGAGATTCCTATATATATATATATATATATATATATATATACACTCAGCTATGCTCTCCTCCAGTTTCGCAGTTTAGGATGTGAAGTGACGTAGCTGTAAGATGAGGGGAAGAGTCTACTGCATCTCTGCAGGATATTGCCGGAAATGTTATAATTAATCATTTAGAATTTTGACAGTATTTCCGTTATTAGAGATTGCAGCTGGCCCTACGCCTAGAAGTAATTAAACAAATAATACCCTACAGATTTTTATTCTTCTAGTCACATCATTAAAAACATCAGTCTTGGGGGAAAAAAAAAAAGTCTCACTAAAGGCACTCAAGAATACATTAAAGACTTATTTAAATAAATTTTACATGCAGCAAAGTCTTCATGATAAATTGCATTGTTCTAGTATCCTTGTTAATCATTAGCATTTTCTGGAAGATGACAACTTATTTTTAGCTCAGAAAATTTACTGTCATATTTAGCTGTTTTTCCCCATCACTGACTAATTATTGCAGGCTCTGAAAGAAAATTGCCTGGTTTTATTTTTAGGCTGAATCCACATCATTCCAATTATTGCAATAGTTACATATTTTGTTAATTCCATTCACTTCTCAACAGAATCTACTTGAGTTTACAAGTGTATCTAAGGATATTATCTTGGCAGAACAACAATTTGCATGATTAATTTGGAGTGGCAGAAAAGCTGTCTGGCACTCCCTGTGGGCACACTTTCTAAAGAGAGAACCAGCTTAGCTTTCTATTGCCACAAAAATCAGCAGGACCAAACAAATTACTTCCAAATATCTCTCTCTCAGTGTGAGGTGCCATTAATCTTTTTCTCTGCTAGCCAGAAGTGTCTTTGTCATATTCAAATTGGATTTTTTCTCCACAAAGAAAATGAAGTCTTGTAAAAAACTGTGTTATCTCTTTCTGCTTCAAAGCCAAAAGAATTTAGCTCCCTCTCCCCCTTTACACGTCTTTCCCAAATCACCAGCACTCTAAGTGCACTAATATTTAAAAATATTGATGTTCATAATGCCTCCATGTGCTGAGTAGGTAATCGTTACTTTACAGCTCAGGAAATACTTTAAGACAAAAGAATAGGTGTCTTGACACTTCAACTTCTGATGAGTTCTCGAGAGACTGTCTCCCAGAGGCTGATTATTTAACCGTAACCAGCAGTATGTAAAAAGTTTCTAGCTGTGCATCTGACTAGAGGCTTACTAACACTGGGTTCCCATTCTAACTATTAGGCAAAATAAACTTACAGTTTTACTCTGAGTACTGATTTTTTTTTTTTTTTAAAAAAAAGCAGAAAATTAGCAGGAAACTATATTAGCTAGACCACACCACCCCTGCTTCAAGAAAAAAGGAAAACTGCACTTGGTGCAGCCTCACTCACTGCTTAGAGTGACCTAATTCTAATTTTTCTCCCATGACTGAATTTTTGTGGGAAGAACTGCACTTACTGTCCCCCCCTTTTTTATATAGCAGAAGAAAGCAGAAGAAATGTGTTTCTTTTTCTCTCATCTCAGAAAGCAAAACAGACACTACCAG